TGTCTTTCAGCTATCAGATTTCAGGATAGATTCTGCATCAAGTAGTCCGCAACAGCTTGCGTTTGTAACTCCTTTCCTTGATATTCACGGGACAGAAACTGTAGACCAATCTCATGTTCACATAGATGAAATTACAGGTCAACCTCATGTTCAGGAGGAGCGGATTTATGAAATGGCTGAACAGACTGACGAAAATTCTGAGGATAACTGCAGGGAAGTTCGCTGCATAGAAACGGAGAAGTCAGATATTAGTATAGGTCCAGAGGAAAAGATGCCGGAGAGCAGTCCAGACAAGTACGAAGCTGTGAGTGAAGAAGAACCAGTATGTGTGACAGAGCCAAAGAACTTACGACCACCCACAGAAGCTGAAAACAAAGAAGAAGAAAGAGTAAAGGAAGTCAGTGGTGCTTCTCCTCAACCAAAACAAGAAACCAACCTCGCAAAAACTCCTCCATTCTGTGATTTCGAATGTTCACCTGTTGAGTTTGATAAAGGCATGTCTAACCTGAGAAGAATCCCAACGCCTCCAGCACTTCTCACTCCCTCTCCTGAAAAGCCTTTCTCTTGGCTTATGGAGAGAGATTCACAACCGTTCAGACGCATGAAGCTGACTAGAAGTCGAAGCTGCCGACCAAGCTTATTATCGAGCTCTTCCTCCTCTTGGTTAGATAAAGATGTTGATACACCGCCAAGCTGGTACGACAAAGAATTTGTCAAATCAGTTGAGACAAACCTGACAATGTGCGACATGAAGAACCAGAGGTTGTTGCAGGATGAGTTTAGCGGGAGGAGCATGCCAACAACTTGGTTCGAGAGAAACTTGAGTGACACTCAAACGGCGGATGCTGCTTCACATGGTGTCAGTAATGAAATGTCGCCAAATGAGTCACCGTCTCGGCCATCTGATGCTTCTGTGTTTGAGCTCCAGACAAGTGGTAGAGCTTCAATAAGCCAGGACAGAACAGAGGAGACTGGTGCTCAGAAAGACAAGCAAATCATTCATCGCTCGGTTAGTTTTGCTTTACTTGCTTTCGATAAATCACCTAAGTATGTGTCACTGATCTTTCATTTGTGGGCAGATGGAGGAAATGGAACAGAAGTTCTTGTCATTGAGTTCAACGAAGAGTTTCAAAGATGCAGCAATGGACCCAATACAAGACTACTTAGACACGCCCTTGAATTGGCCGGTGGAGTTCAAGAGGCTACAGAGGGAGATAATAGAGCTATGGCACGTGTGTAAAGTCTCTATGGCACACAGAAGCTACTTCTTCCTTCTGTTCAGAGGAGATCAGAAAGATTGCCTGTACTTGGAGGTAGAGCTCCGTAGACTTAAGTACATCAGAGAATCTTTTGCCCAAAATAGCAATGATGGCCACAATATGACCCTAATCTCCTGGTAATTTCACATTGTATATTTTTTTTATCTCATTAATTTTTGGCTTAGTAAGACAGTCAAGTAATGTAATGTACAAACAAACAGCACGAGGGCGTTGACGAGGGAGAGGTATAAGCTGAGCAAGCTGATGCAGAGGAAACTGTCGAAAGAAGAGAGAGAGAACTTGTTCTTGAGATGGGGCATTGGGCTCAACACGAGTCACAGGCGGGTCCAGCTGGCGCACCGGCTCTGGTCGGATTACAAAGACATGGGTCATGTCCGAGAGAGCGCTTCCCTGGTTGGTAAGCTCAATGGGTTCGTGGACATGAAGTTGACTTCCACAGAGATGTTTGGCGTCAACTATGCTTTCAGACCACCTCGTCCCAAGAAATCTAGTCTTTGGAAACGCAGCGTTTTGTCCCTCTCCTTTTTGTAACTACAAAGACCGAAAAAAATTCTCACAATCTTCTTCTTTTCTTTGATCGTATATGTTGATTTTATAAATCGTCTCTCACATCTAGTGAATTTGAAGGTAGTGGCTTCTGTGATTAGCGCATCTACTCTGTTTCTTTACCAATCTTGGCATCTCCTACATCTGTCTGACTATGATCGTCATAAGGTGCCGTTTAATGACGAGTATGAATCATGCCTACTGTTTTCCTAATTGCGAATTGGGATAAACCAACCTCTAAAGTTTCATCTCCTGCTAAAATTTTGTTGGAAATTCACATATCTGCATTAATTTGCTTGGAGCATTATTATTGAATACGAGTACGTATATTTCTTCACATCTTATACGTTCCGTTTGTTTAATTTTTCTGCTTTTCACAAGAGTAGTGAAAACAACAATACGTGTCTATAACAATTCAGACCTAACGTGAGCCAAAAAAGAACATCTGTATGAGAACAAATAGAAAGATAAGAGGTTGATCCTCAAATTAAAGAAGAGTCTTCTTATATGTAAGTCACGCAGTATCTTTTCGTATCTACATATACATTTTTATAGTACTTTTTTGCTTTAATTCTTTTGGATCCGGGTTTGACCCGGGTTTTAGTCTATTCGGATCTTGGATTAGCAATTTAAGGGATGTTCTCTTAATTTCAAACTTATAAATGAAGCCATGTTGTCTTAATATCTTTCATATTAATGACCCTAATAAATAGCCGATTTTAATGGAAAATCGTTTTCATATTTATGCTCATAATAAATGTCCAGATTTTAACAATATAACGTATTTATTTTTTTAACAGTATATATATATATATATATATTATGTTAATAAATTTGTTTAATATTCTAATAATAAGCTATATCATTTTTCTATTAAATATAGGCAATTGCCCATTTAAATTGCAATAAATTTAAAATAAAAATAACAATATATATATATATTTTTGCAGGGGGTTTTTGCTTTTAATAATTTGGATCCGAGTTTTATTCGGTTTTACTATATCTGGATCTTGGATAAGACATTTAAGAAAATCTAAAAAAAATCGTCATTAATGTAGATAATTATACATATATTTCGGTATAAGCATATTCCAAAAATCTCTCCTAAATCAAAGATATTACGTTCAAAAATTGTTGCCAAAAATCTCTCGCTTTCCTTCTAAAATCTCTACCATTGGCTGTCATCCCAACTAATTACTCATAATTATCTTTCCTATATTTCTTTTTTTTTTCGAGATTTGCAAGAAAATTACTCAATTCCAAAAATAAAAGATTTTGAAGATATTGTTACTTGATCAGCAAGATTTTAGGAGCTCACTCACCCAAAACCCTATAGTATTCTCAAAACATTATAAATACCTTTCATTAGTCTAATAAAAACTCACCAGTTTTACAGAAAATGAGAAATCGCAGACGTGATGCAATCTGTACGGACTCCGGGAAGAGCTAGGAGACAGTGGTGAACCGGGATCTAAACCTCGCCGACGATGTGAAGATGGTGACGAGGAGGAGATCGTAATTCTTTAGGTTTCGATTGGCAAAACAAGACGATCGGCGATCCAAAGCTCCACCGCCTGAAACGCAACATCGAATTGATCACACCGAATATCTTCAAATTTCGGATATGCTTTTCCGGTGGTAGCTTCAAAATACACGCCGAGAACTCTTTGATACGCTACACGGAGAGTAGATCCATGCGTTTTGCTGTAGCTTTGAAGAAACAAGGCTCAGATCGACGGAGCCGTTACTGTGACCGTTAACGACGGTGACTTCATCTGCTAAACCACCGATGATTGAGTTTGAACTTTCCGTTTCTAAGTTTTCCATTTTGGGTATATGAGAGAGTTGAATAAACACAATTTGGGCTCTGTAGGTCTTTACAAAATTGGTAGACATGATTCTTTGTTATTGGGTTCTAATACTCTATGTGTTTATTTTTTCATTATGTGAACTAATGAAAGTTGCATACTTAATTTTTTTTTCATGGCAGTTCTAAACATATTATTTTTAATATTTGTGATTATATAACAATAATAGGTTAGTGTTAATTACATGGATCATTAAGGTTTGAATAGTGATAAAATAATTAGAAAATACAAATAAAATAACAAGGCCGGTGCAAAACTATTAATTCAGACCTTAATTATCGGATCAGTTCAAGCTTTAACCCATATCTTTTTCTGAAATTGCTAAAAATAAGTAATGTTCTCAAATAAATTCAAATATCAAATCTTCATAAATACATTAAATACGTAAGATTTAAAATTATGGAGCAATCTTTTCTAATTAAATTCAAAAATTTCTAATTGATATATTTAAATTTTTTGGCTTTTGTTTGCCCATTTAGCTATGGTTTTTGAGTTTTTATAAAATAGTTTTAAATATTACGGGACGAATTGTATGACACAGGTTTGGTTAGGATTGATATTAATATAAAATTAAAATATCACTAATATATCGCTATAACACATATTAAATCCTCATTTTATTATTTAAAATTTAGCATACGGTATACCGCGGGTAAAATCAGTATAAGACGGGTTAAATCAGCATCTTATTCAAAATCATACAATTGAATCTATTGTTTTTATACTACGTCTATCTATAAAATTTCAATTTTTGTAATAAAATTTCGTCTCACGGTGTATTATACATTTAAATTAAACAAAAAATAGTATATATCTATAGAGTATCTTAAAACAAAATTTAATAAATTTTTCTAATAAAAATATAGATCCGCGGTGTACCGCGGGTTAACATCTAGTAATCATTATTTTATAAGATAAATTTGCCATAGTCAACCTATATCTTTATTATAGTGCTTGATTTTCACCAAAATAAAAGTTATCGTAATCATAGATAGAAATGTTAAGCCGGGCCAATTCCTACTTAAATACTAAACAAAAAAAAAATCATCATTCTCAGATATATATATGAGCGGCAAAAGTCAAAACACTAAGACTAGAGGTTTCATTGATCGGGGTTAGGAGTGTGTATAGAGTGAATGATTTTTTATCATATAATCCAATTCATAATGGTTGCATTGAAATTATTTTTGTTATATGCATAATTTGAAGAATAAGGAAACTGATTAAAAAAAAAAAAAAAAAAATTACTTCCTTTTAAAACCAAAGCATGATTAGTAAATCACGTTTACTTGTCAACGCGCTGGTTCATATCTGATTTTTTTTTCACGGCCAAATTTGGGCTCCATTATCGTTTTTTTTTTTTTTTTTTTTTAATGTTACGTAATTTGCTAAGTCTTTTTCCCATTCAAACCATTCGCCTTGTTTACCTTCCACGTCAAGAACATAACCGTTTAGACAATAGAATTTTGACACGTGTGTTCCACTTCACCTTTCTCTTTCCCAATATTCTTGGCAATGTTTTCAACAGCCGAACTTGAAATGACAAAATTAGTCATCTCAAAATCCTAATCTCTATTTATTCTAACATCTTTTACATATATAACCTTTTGGCTGACAAAAAAGACAGGAATTTTATCCAGTTTACATCATGTTATATATATACTTGATCGGATATATATATATAGAGAGTATTGTAGGCGTGAGATCAAGTGTGAGAGAGTAACATGTAGTTTTTTTTTGTCAAACACGGAGATCAGAGTGCTGACACGAGAATTAACGACAAACAGACAAAAAAGTTTACATGATCAGCACATATGACACATAAGGTCAGATTATAATTGAAAATGTAGCACTACAAACATCGATCTTCAGTATTTCCAATAGTCATTCGTTTCATGATTTGGAGTGTTTTCAATATATAAAGAGGAAAATAACTGAATAAATGAGTATAAAATTGAGAATACAGGATTGAAGAAGGAGACATCATTTGGAGCATGAAGTAACACAAAACAAAATGATGATATTCACAGCTTCTCTCTCCCGTTTCTCTCAAAACGGAGCCACCCACCTTTTTTTCTATTTCCTTTTCCTATGTCTCCATTCTAAGTTCTAACATCATCATTACTTCGTTTCGTATATTAATCTATAGTTTCATTTTCTAATTATATTTTTGTTTGTGTGTATATATATAAATGTTCATATATTGTATAAATTACACACGCATAGAAAGAGTGATGGTGAATTACGCCAACGCGAAATGAGCATATGATTACACTCTGAAGTCTAAACACACATGTCATCGTTCAAGTGGACGGTCCATATCTCTCTTTTTCTATACCTAATCAACATCTTCAATAAGACTCTCATTCTATTGATTTTCCCTTGATAGAGTCGGTCGGTTTCTTCTATGATCGATCTTTCTAAGATCAAGAAGAAACCGCAGCCAAATAAACCCTAGAAGATAACTATCAATATGATGAAGGTGGATCAAGAGTCGTGTAGTATACCGCCTGGATTTAGGTTTCATCCGACAGATGAAGAACTTGTCGGATATTATCTCAAGAAGAAAGTCGCCTCCCAGCGGATTGATCTCGACGTTATCAGAGAAATTGATCTTTACAAGATCGAACCATGGGATCTACAAGGTATCGCCCTCTTTTATATACTTCTCGATACCACTATATATATAGATGCATGTGTCAGTCGCTCGAATAATAGATATCCTAACTAAAGAACGCTGTGGTTCCCTTATATATGCAATTAATTTATGAGCCCGATCTACTCTATATGTATATAATTAAGACCACATCTAGAGAGTTCAAACGACAAGTTAGGGTTTTGATAACTTAGAATAAACTGAAATCTATCAGTACACATATGCAAGCAAACTATATGCTATTTATGTAGATCAACATATATAATAATTTGCTATAATGTGTAGCTTGAAAGAGTTATATGTAACCTATGATACTGGTTATATGTGTAGAGAGATGTAGGATAGGGTACGAGGAGCAAAAGGAGTGGTATTTCTTCAGTCATAAAGACAAGAAGTATCCGACTGGAACTAGGACAAACCGAGCCACCGTGGCCGGTTTCTGGAAAGCAACGGGCAGGGACAAGGCGGTTTACCTCAACTCCAAACTTATCGGTATGAGAAAAACACTTGTCTTTTACCGAGGTCGAGCTCCTAATGGCCAAAAGTCTGATTGGATCATTCACGAATACTACAGCCTCGAGTCACACCAGAACTCTCCTCCGCTGGTAATTAGGAATCTTACTCACATATGCATATAGAGCCACGCATTCTGATAATTGAGTTTTCACATTTAATCTGTAAATTTAGAAGTTTCACCTTTTTATCATATTAAAACACGTACGCCCCCCACTATATATATACTATACGTACGTAGAAAAATCAAGTGTTGTGTTTGTCTCTTTCATTGGTCTGAAAAGGAAACGGATTAAGAAAACTATATATTAGTTATTGATCTAGATCATAATGGTGAAGCAGGAGGAAGGTTGGGTAGTGTGTAGAGCATTCAAGAAACGAACGAACGTCCCAACCAAAAGAAGGCAACTTTGGGATTCGAACTGCTTCTTCTACGACGCCAGTACTCTCTTGGAACCTCTGGACAAGCGAGCCAGACATAATCCTGACTTTGTCGGCACACCGTTTAAGCAAGAACTACTCTCCGAGGCCAATCACATCGAAGATGGAGATTTCGGATCTATGTACCTTCAATCCATGGATGATGATCAATTATACCAGCTTCCTCAGCTGGAGAGCCCCTCTCTTCCGTCGGAAATAACTCCGCAGATTTCGGAGAACAGTAGCCGGAAAGATAACGTGAGCGCCGAGAAGAGGATCACTGACTGGAGATCTCTAGATAAATTCGTGGCGTCGCAGTTGTTGATGAGTAGTGGCGAAGACTAAAAGGCTTCTTTTCTATGCATGCATGCACATGAAAAGTCGTCGTATTTTGGATTTACATATATGGTCGTAATAAATTCAACCAAGGAATTGATTTTCGATGGATAAATAGAAGGTGAGAATCGAATAAGAAGATACATATACACTTGCTCAGTTTGGTCGTATAAAATGTATCAGTGACGTTCAAATGAAGGTATTTTTATATATTTAATAAAAGAAAGTGGGCTCAAGGTGGGCCCAATAAAGATGGGCTTTTGTCTACCATGCGCGGTGAAGCATGGTTTGTGGTGGTTTACTCATGCTTTGTCTCCTCCCCATTAAATATCCAACGAGCTGGCGTTTTTGATAACACATTGTCGTCACTGGGGGTTTAAAACGGCACGCTGTTGGCATGCAAATCCGCGAAACGTCATTTATCAGTCTCCTTCTATTTGGCGGAGTTGAAAACCCTGATACGAGCGTTTCCAGATTTCTCCCAAACGGAATTGCTGATTCCTACCAGTGATAGTTTATCGGAGTCTGTGAAGCAGATGGGAGCATCAGATTCAACTCTGCTAGGCTCTCAGGTAACCGATATATCGCGATTTGATTCTCAAGGCATCATCATTCGTGTTCTCTATATTCAATTTTGATGGATTCTCAGGAAAATCGAGGTGGTGATGTGATTACGACCATCTCTCATCGATCCGAAATAGTCGATCCCATTCTCGAGAATCTCAAAGCCCTCACAGTTGTGAGTTACATACTACTACTACTACTACTCCTCCTTTTCAAGTTGCGATTAAACATTGCTTTGTTTCTTGCTTGAAATTGCAGAGTAGGCCAATATTGAAGTCTCCTCCCACGGAAAGTAGCTTAACAGATATCTTAGTGAGAAAAGCTCTATCCAGTTCCTCTTCCAGTGAGTTTTTTTATACCTATCTGCTTAGTCTGCTAAACCCGTTTACTGTGTTAAGTTGCTTAGGAAGAGTACATGCTTTTTTTTTTTTTTTTTTTTGTGTAACATATTCAAAATGATGGATCCTTTCTTGTGTGGAAGACAATTTATTCATCTTTGGATTTTTTTGCTAATGTTTTCGTTTACTAGTAAAGCTTCATGATGAAACAAGCTGTTTTCATTCATCAAACAAGTCTTCTTTTTCCAACTCTAATTTCTTTCTTTTCTTTTCAACTTTGTTTCCCAGATACGGTTGATCCTCAAATACTTCTAGAGCTCTTCTCCATTTACCGACAATGGCAAGAGAGCAAAGCTCAAGATATTACCAAGAGGCAGGTCTGTCTTTCCGCCTTTTTTTCTTTTCTTATGTATATGGAATCCCTACTCTTATATAGTCCTTGGGATTCATGCAAAGCATGCCTATGAATGGACTCTTTGTCTATGAGTGCAGTCTTTATGAAATGTTTGCAATTACCTGAGATCTTAAATTAGACTCCAGGCTACTCCTAAGGGTTCCCTTAAATTGAAACTGACCACTAAGATAGTCTAAGTTTTGAGCTTTTGGTTTGCAAGTGTGGCGCCAAAGGACTGTAATTTCTTGGAAAAGGAAAAAAAAAAATCAATTATAGATGTTCTACTTTCTTTGGCTCTTATGGTTGAGTTGAGTGAATTTGAAACTGATAAATCCGCGTGATTCATTGTTCTGAAATCTTGGTTTGCATCACCATGGTGTCTCTAGGTGTTGAATTAAAGGGAAATGAATTATAACATGTTGCATCATGTATTTAGGAAGATATAGAAAACAAGATAGAAGTGGCAGATGCTTTGGCGACTAAAATTTTACAGAGGTTTAACCACTCTGTTTCTGCAATGAGGACAACTTCCCAGCATTTATCTCAAGGTATTATTCTAGTCTAGATTAAGATAGAGATGGCTTTGACACTGGACGGCAATTATCCACTAATCTTATATGTGGAACATATTTTTAGTTCATGGTTTGCAGGTGGAGCTCGGGGAGCTTAAAGGAAGGTTAACTGAGGTGATCAGCAACTGCGATACATTATGTAAGAGAATTAATTCTGAGGGACCTGAATCTTTGAGGTCCACAGTTACGCCTTTTTCTCTTGCATCTCCCGATTCGGTCAGTATAAATACTACTACTCTGTCTTCTATACTAGAGGCATAAGAGTAAATACTCTTAATGATAGTTAGATTGGTGAATCGAATACGTCTAGTTCTACAGTATACTTTCTGATCTCCTCTGATTTTGCATAGATTCATGATGATGCTATTGATTGATCTCTTTTATTACAAATCATTATTTTCTTTTGTCATTTCATCTTTAGGCTTTCATAATTTTTAAGTTGGTTTATTTTCTGATTGTGAGCAGTAAGAAACCATTGTTGTGATAAGAGAAAATTCATATGTAATAAATATGCTTTGCTTGCCTTTTGATACAAAATCCACAATGGACGATTCGCAGTGTATGGAGTTGAACAACTTGAAACAACATAAGAGAACAACAAATGAAACAAAATAAGATTTCAATAAAAAAGCAGATAGTGATTACTCCTCTTTGCCACCTCCCCATATCATGGTTGCTGCTGAGCGTCAATGTAACCAGCGTCGGCGAGCACTTTCTCCCTCTTGGCCAGCTCAAGGTCTTCGTCGACCATCATCTTCACCAGCTTTTCGAACCCTACTTTCGGCTTCCACCCCAACATCTCCTTTGCCTTGCTTGCGTCTCCTTTCAGATTGTCCACCTCTGTTGGCCGAAAGTACCTCTTGTCGATCTCGACATGGTCTTTCCAGTTGAGCCCAACGTACCCGAAGGACACCTCCAGAAACTCCTCGACGGTGTGTGATTCTTCAGTTGCAACCACGTAGTCATCTGGTTTCTCCTGCTGCAGCATCAGCCACATTGCTTCCACGTAGTCTCCTGCGAAGCCCCAGTCTCTTGAAGCCTGTATATTTCCCAGGAAGAGCTTGGTCTGCAATCCGACCTTGATCCTTCCCAAGGCCCGAGTGATTTTCCTAGTCACGAAGTTCTCGCCTCTGCGAGGTGACTCGTGGTTGAAGAGGATTCCGTTGCAGGCGTACAGACCGTAGGCCTCTCGGTAATTGACAGTGTACCAATGAGCAGCGCATTTGGAGGCAGCGTAGGGAGATCTCGGATGAAAAGGCGTGGTCTCTGACTGGGGAGGAGGAGTTGACCCGAACATCTCGGAAGAGCCAGCCTGGTAGTACTTGATGGCACGGCCGTTGTCGATGTTGTGAGATCTGACAGCCTCCAGGAGACGAAGAGCTCCAGTAGCGACGACGTCAGCAGTGTAGTCAGGGATCTCGAAGGAGACGGCGACGTGGGACTGAGCAGCAAGGTTGTAGACCTCGTCAGGCTTGATGACGTCGAGCCAACGGCGGAGAGAGGAGGCATCAGAGAGATCAGCGTAGTGGAGCTTCATGAGAGCTTTGTTGGCATTGTGGGGATCGACGTAGATATGGTTGATTCGCTGAGTGTTGAAATTGGAGGATCGTCGGATGAGGCCGTGAACTTGGTAGCCTTTCTCGAGCAGGAACTCTGTCAGGTAAGATCCATCCTGGCCAGTGATACCGGTGACCAGTGCAATCTTCCTCGGCTGCGGAATGTCGGAATGGCCGTTAAGAGATCTGGACACTTGGGACGCCATTGCCATTGATGGGTGGGTGGAGATCAGTCAGATCGGATCAGAAGAAATGATTGGGCACGTCGCGCTTGCTGTTTGGTTTAAGCGTCAACTGATTCTCGATGAGTTATATAATAAAGGCAAGGACGAAGAAGGTGAGACAGAGAGGAGGGTTACTTTGGGAAACTATAAAGGTGAATCTGTATGGCTACGTAAAGTTGTTACTTGTATGGCAAATCGCCGGCAAGCGTTGACCGATAAACGAATAGTTTACTATCTATTGGGCCAATATGGGCTTTAAATTACTGCCATGATTGTAGTGGGCTTAAATATAGACTTAACCCATTTAGTTATTATTATACTCGGCCTTATAATAACCATCGATTCTTTTCTCCTCCACGATATTCTCAACTTTGCTTTGCTAGTCCTATTTATTAGATTCAAAATTCAAAAAATTAAAGCGTAAATAAAAAAACGTAACGTTAAAAAGAATAATTGTGAATATTAAAAGAATATGAGTGGTGGTAATTAAATCGTTGAGGGTAATAATAGGAATTAGTTAAAAAAAAAAAAAAGATTAGGAATGAGAGCCAATCAGCGCCTCTATTTTCCACTGGAAAGTCAAAAAGTCGTAAGAAGTGTGTTTAGGGTTTTCTCTCTATCTCTCCCACACAACACAACAACACAAAGCGTATCGCCGACGTCGCTTCTTATTCCACTCTCTCATTGTCGAGTTTGGTCTAACAAACAGGATAATCTGATTTCTCGTTTCGTATCGAATCTGAGAAAGTGGTTATTTGATTTGACTTTAGAAAAGAAAAAAAGAGACAGTGATAGTTTCCGATTGATTTTGTAGAGAAATATATATAAAGGATGATGAAGAAAACGAAGAAATCGAGAGTATCATGGGCTTCAGATAGTATGCTTTGTCAGGTATAGCCATACAACCGTCGTCTTCGTCGACCCATCTTCTTCCTTATTACTTCTCTCGCTTATGTTAATTGATCGGACTGACTTACCCAGTCATCCAAGTTAGAATCGGACAGTCAACAAAACGAATTGATTTTTGATTGCTTTTCATTATTTATTCTTTATTTTATTTTTAAATTCATACAAAGGTAAAACCTTTTCCACAAGTCATCGTCAAAGCAATAAACTTTAAATGAAGAAGACGATTTTTTTTTTCTGGTAATGGGGAATCTAATTAATTGATTTGTGAAATATACTCTTCTCTTTTTTTGCCTGAATGTTGATGTCATGATACTTGAATCTACTTTACATAGTAGAGAGGCATAAACAGCAAAAAAAAACAAGAATTAATGTACCAATGTGGTCACTAATTTTAGAAAGATTTGGACTTTTTCTTTCATGAGTTATATGAGTGTACACACACATTTGGTTACTAACTAAGTAAAGGATTTGGACAGGTTAAGTTGTTTCTCACTGATGATTGTCCCGCAAAAGTTGCATCGAATCTTCCACCTGGATTTGAAGCTACTGAGTATGCAACGAGGCGAATCCTCTCACACATTCCTCGGATCAAATGGAAACGCCCACCAAAGGTATAAATAATCCTTTTCTTGAATTGCAAACAATGTGACTTTCTTTTTATCAACTCTCTCTGTCTTTCTTTATTCGCCAAACAGTTTGTCCTCAATGATGCTTTGCTTGTCGGGCGTGGTGGAGAGAGCACCGAGACTCGTACTGAGAATCTCAGGATTTCTAAAGTCTTGGAAGCTTTCTATCCACATCGCTCTGTTATCCCTACTCGGTAAAATTTCTTTATTTGAGGATTTGCTTTTGTCCCCTGTTTTACCACTTTATCATATCTCTCTCTGTTTTCTTCCAGTCCTTCAGTCTCACCGGCTGTAGAAGAAGCACACTATGACGACCGCAAAACTCCTAATATCCGTCTCACTCCCGTTGAAGATGAACGTGAGGCTGCCGTTGAATCTTCCCACAGTTTCGAAGCTCCTGCAGCTGTTTCTGGACTTGGACCAGAGTTAAGTCTTCTTGCTGCTGCAGCTTTGTCTGCGTTAACTAAGGAACAGGGGTGTCAGGTCGATGCTGATTTACTTGTCAAGTTACTCAGTGACCCCAAAATCGTTGAGAGCTTGATCAATGACATGAAAGGTAAACCACTTGAAACTGCAAATAACAGTCGAAGCACTGACACCAACAAACCTAGACTTGCCCCTCAACATGTCACCTCCACAGCCATGGACAGAAACCCACCTCCCATACCTGGAAATGTCGTGCCACATAATGTACCTGTTTTTGTTCAGTCCAGTGCTACAGATCCTCCACTCTCCAAACCCACTCAGCCCATGTCAAGTACTCTATCAGTGAACGTTAACCTCCAGAAACCCACCCTGGTTGTCCACAGCTATCCATTGTCTTCTGCTGGGATCAAACCATTGCCAATATTTGAGGATTCTTACACAGCTGCTGCTCCCTTGAAACCAAGCCCAGTTGATGATGTTGTAGTCTCGGAACAAAAGACCCAATCCCTTAACATGTCCAGCACTTGGAATATGAATAGGGTACCAGAATCAGCGAGAACTGAAACAGATGCTAAAATCCGTAATGGTAACACAAACCAGGATGGTGAGGTTTCTGCAAAACCCGTGAAAAATCTAGACTACTTCAAGAGCCTCATTAGGGAACATGGGGCAGTCAAACCGGCAACAAATGAAACTAACAATTACAAAGGAAGAGTTGATGATAAGAAAGTAGTAAAGGTTAAGATTCAGAAACCGTGCATGTATTTTAACAGAGCCAAAGGGTGTAGGCTCGGCGAGAGTTGCTTGTATCTTCACGACCGCTCTAAAAGGTTGTGGACTGATGTTGCACCTCCTCACTTTCCCAGAGCTAAGAGACTCAAGTTTAGATCGTAGCAGAGCAACTATAAAACTCAAAATTTAACCCCAAGCATGTCTGAAATATTGGTAAATAGCTTCATCCAAATTCTGATAAGTTGTTTAACAAGTTTCTCAAAGTTACATTTCTTTTGGCCATCTATCTACAAGGTTAACCATTAAATTGGTTAATGATATCACTGGAGTTTAATTCATTTTTCTACTATGATCTTAAAAATGTATTAAAAAGTCTAAAAGCTGTGAAAACCTAAGAGATCTTATTAAAAGAAAAAAGAAGTAAACTTGAAACAATGAAACATAACAGCATTTAGTCTGTTTTGTTGAATGTTTGATAATGTCGAACCTATAGGGGAAGCGGTTGTGTTGAACTAATCTAGTTAAAAAAAGATTTAGGTAGTATAATCATTTGTATGGAAAAGTTATATTTGGTGATAATGAATTATATGAAGAAGCAAAACAATGGGCAAATTTTATTTTAGTCGTCTCTCTTTCCCTTTGTAATTATGTCATAGTTTGTCTTTTGTTCCTATGATAATGGGTTGCTTTGTACTTTGTAGTATAGACTGTAACTTCTTTGCAATGAAATTTTCACATTAAAACCAAAAAAAAAAAAAAAACAATGGGCAAATTAGTAGAAAAGCTCACATAAGAACACCCGACATGTGAACCCTACACCTGCGCTCAACTAAAAAACTCCCAATTTCTTGTCTGTTTTATTTTAATAAATTGTTATACCAATAATATGATTTGTGATTGGTGTTACAGAATATATAAATGAATAAAGACTTGAGTTTATCCAAAACTCGTTGTCTAATGTGTTAAGGCATCAGAGCCGTGCCTCAAGGTATAACAAAGAAACCTTCGCCTACGTCCTCAAATTTTTGAAAAAAACTTAGAAGCATATTTTTCTACAAGATACCTTTAGTTTAATATGCCCAATATTAAAAGATCACTTGCATTTATCTAAGTAATAAGAAAATAAAATTAAAGTAGAAAAATATTAAAAGAATTAGGAAACTAAACAGAACAAAGTATTATAAATTTAGGTTAATGATTATCAAGTTATGCATTATAGAAATTGTATTGTATATAAAAATATATTAGATGTTTCATAGTATTTCAAATTTTGATAATAATACAATACATCTTATAACTAAAACTATAATGTATTACTTAATAATCATGATTGAGTGACTTGGCGATCTTATCTATCGAAAGATAATTGGTTAGGGAAATTGACTATGAACGTTTGGCTAATAATTTTGTTGGAGAGAAAGGGAGAAGAATTACGTTTTAGAATTTATTTTATGTTTGGTTTTGACGTACTTTCGTCATATGGCAATTTATCTTTGTAGAAGCATCTTTTTTTTTTTCCTCGAACACCATTTCTATTAAGTTGTCAGAAAGAACTTATCCGCTAGGGAATACCAATCAGGAACCGACTTGCTTACATGGGAAAAAAGACAGTTTTGAACCCTAGCTTTGTAGAAGCATCTTTGTTTTGTGAATTAGGGCAAATTTCATTTGACCGCCTCTGGCAACCATTGACCTTGGCACGTCTCTGTAAGGCATAACGATTAACTGAAACGGTTATGTCAAGTTTTTTTCTTCACGCGATATGAATGATTTGATTGATGGTGCTTAAATAGAAGTATATAGTTTTAGTCAGTATATATCAATTGTTAAGAACATTTGATCGTTCCCACATCAATTACGTCACCTCCATACGATACCAATATTAATATCAAGATAATATCATACTTTGGGAGCCAATAAGTGTCCGAAATTTGTGAGATGTAGAAGACGTTTACTTTTATAAATTATAGTTTTGCAAATTAATCTGAAATTTAATCATCCGATAGGGAGAAAGTCTTGTGTTTTTGTGGTGGTGCCTGGTGGGTGAGTTGTGACGTACTACCTCCAAGATTTGTTTTAACATATACAAATATATAATGAAATATCTTACGACATTGTTGTTTTTGTGACATCCATGGATAAATATATTCGGTATAAATCTTACGACATTGTTGTTTTTGTGACATCCATGGATAAAGTCAACTTTCAAGGTAGGCTTTGTGTCGTGTATACACATATTCATGCGCGTTTACTTGGGAGTGAAGTTGATTATCTAATTTCTTTGGAAAATGGTATTATACTCGATCTAAATATACTAACATATTTAACATTAAGTCTAATTTTCAAATGAATAATCATAACAATAATAGCATATTTTTTTTTTGAATTTACTGTTAAATTATATTTAAAAGAAAAATAACGTTTGTACAACAAGTGCAACAATTTCTGAAAAGTTGAAGCTGAAACAATGTGCATAAAATTTCTGATAATAGCATATTTACGAATAATAATTGTAAAAATATCAAAACTTTGACAGTTTTGGTCGTGTGTTGAGAGCTATATGTGACCAGTGAGCCTCTCTATTTGGTGAAGAAGGGTCCATGAGTGTCGAGGGCGAAAAAATTTGTTGACGTTAGAGATAGATAATTGCAAAAGGACAAAAACCGTGGGGGTCCAATCAGAATATACAGAAATGATAGAGAGGTGATGATGTAGTTGTGTGTGTGTGATCTGTCCTTGTTTAGATTCTCTATTTGAAGCGAAATAACGCTTTTGGTTTTAGAAATATCCAAGAAAATGAGGTTGAAACAAAAGTATACGTACGTAACGTGAACTCTACAACTCCCAAAGGACATCATACACTATATTAATACATAAGAACTAATTTAGGAAGAAAGGATATACACATGCAAGTAGGTACATATATGATCTTCTTCATATTATATCTGTCTCACGTTAAGGATTAACGGAGGAAATGAGAGATCGAAAGAAGTGTTCATCACAAGGGATGGTTAGGCCATTGTCTTGAAAGAACCCAAACTCTTCCTCAGACTGTTGCAGCAACATCTGTTTCATGAATATAATAAGATTTATATATATAATTAGTATCACAACAGATGCAGTTAATGAGAAGAAGAGATCCATGTTGATAGATATATATACCTGGAAGATGGGGTGCGTGAGGAAGGAGATGGGGATGACGTGTCGGGATCTAGAGTGACCAACGTAGACGACGAAGTGACCTTTGGGGACGCCGTTAAAGTTAACGTCGACGTTGCTCTTCTTCCCCAAACTCGAACATCTCTTTAACATCTTCTTCAGAGCCTTACCACTTCCCCTTTCTACTCCCATTGATCTCGAAGATCCTTTTTCCTTTCTCCTCTCTGTGTTCTTGCTTCTCCGTTTGACTCAATAGATAAAGAGATAGTGGTGGTGACTCATATTTATATGCACAAACACACACACATATATATATATATATATAAATCTTTTCACATGTTAATTGCACACATAGAGAATTAACCTGTGTAACATGATGTTTCAACGTTATGGGACTCACCATGTGCAACACTTCTCTATTTTAGACATTTATAAGAAGGATATATATTATATTAAAATCTAATGCCACTATACACAATCTTGGCATCTGTGTGACAAATTAAACTCCATGTTTCGATAAGTTAATATAAGATCATGTAATTTCTTAGTGATAAGTGAAGATATAACATCTACCACATGATATAGATATAGAAAATTTCATGTCAGGGATTTCAAATTGCTGAAGAGAACATGGGCGACGACGGCTCTTCATGTTCTGTGGATGAAAGAAACGGAGCAATGATGTATTACAGACAAAACCCCATTAACGGAAATATAACAGAAAGCCCATACAGTCTCGTGCAGCCGCCAATCATTTACTGGTTTTTCGGTCCGACCAAAACCACTGGTCCCCGATGGGTATCAATTATCAAATAAAGAAGCTGACGAGTCTCAGCCAATCCTATCAAGCCCCGGAGCAAGCTAAGTTAAGCCAAACCATAACGCAATTTCAGCTGCTGAGAATGTACAATCACATACAGAGTCTTCCAGGACCAATATTTTGTTGCCTTTAGGATATCAACAAACGTGCAAGTTGTATCAAATAAGAATTTCTTTATATTACACGTGGAAGAAAAGCTTAAGTAGCAATTTTCATCTCTGAGCATCATATAGAGCTTAGGGCCATCATTTTGCACTGCTCATTCATGGCCAGAAGCTGTGCCTCTTTCTTGTCCACAAGAGCCGTCAGTCTTACATTCTCTTCCATTAGTTTCTGAACCTCTGCTTCTTTCTGCACTTTCTCGCTTTCCAACTGCGTTGTCTTTGCTACAAGCCTGTTTCATCATTATTGACACCCCCATGAACTCACAATCACAATAGGAAAGGAAGGCAATATAATTCTTTAACACACAAACAAGTATGAAGTTTTTGAGACAAGTCGTTATCATACACCTAAGTAAACATGAATGCAGACTTGGAAACAATGATAAATCTGCCCCGTAATGGTGATCAGCTAAGATAAGTTCTAGAGCCTACACAATGAGTACCCAAAAAATGATCAAAGTTCCTAATTCTAGAGCCTACACAATGAGTAGGTAGACTGATGGCAACCAAGGAAGAAGTACACAAGATATGGTTTTTCAGAAAAGATGGAAAGTGCATAGAACTCACCGTTCAAAAAGCCTCTCGATTGTTTGGAACTGCTTCTCGGATGAGACGAGTGTTTCTCTGACGCTAATGAGACTTGTAACATAGGATTTAAGAGACTCAAAGTCTCTCCTGACACGACTGAGTTCCTGCTCATTTTCCGTAGCTCTTTGCTTCTGTCTAGACGTCTCTTCGACCAAATCATCAACCCTCTGGCGCATTTCACAGAGAATACCACTGGTCCCAAGAGCAAACTTTTCCATGTCCTCTAACTTGAGAGACATGTTCTCGATTTGGCCAACTTTTCTTTGAATCTCTTCTTGACTTAGCACAACCTTTCCTTTCTCGATTGCGGCTTCTGATTCGGCGATGATAGCACGCCTAGCCAGAGACTCCATGACGCCTGTAACGGTCTCTACATGCTGAAGCATCTCAGTGACATAAGGCCCGTCATGTTCGTCTATGGATCCTTGGAGCTGGTGAGTTCCAAGTGATAGATTAGCCAAATCGGCAGCAGCCACAGTAGTCGCTTTAGATTTCAGGTAAGTCAATAAGGCGGTACAAGTTTTCACTCGTCTCAAGAGAATCTCAACATCCTTTTGTGAAACAAGAGCAGAATCCTCAGCAGCTATGAATCTGTCTTGCAGAATACTGATGTCGGAGGAGCGGCTCCAATCCAGAGCTCGCATCCAGAGGTGATGATCCTCCTCAGTGATATTAGATTCTAAAGTTGAGGCAGAAACCACTTCCTTTGCAGCCATAGGCTTCTTTATCTGTACAAAGATATCGCATAAACGAAACCCATTTAAAAAAAAAAAAAAGAAGGCTAACAAGCAAGCAACAAAGAAAGAGAATGCAAGGAACATTTTCTGGTAAGAACATCCAAGTTTGATCATTTGGTGGAGTATGAGCAGATTCTATATTCCAAAGTCAAACAAGAAAAAGCCTAGAGGCTTCAAGAAGCCATGGACTCAGACATTTCAAGAGAAAATCTTTTAATCGCAAACAACCAAGAACGTAATCAGAATCATAAACGAGCGCTAAGGGAAAAGACAAACCCAGAGGGAGGGGATCAACTTTGCCCGTTGATTTCGGGAGAGGCTAAACGCAATCAGGTCCCGGCCGATCGATCAACCCTGAGGAGAACGCAGTCGGGTCGGGTTGACTTGGTGAGAAACAAAACAACACCAAGACGCCAAGGACAAGGAGGTTTCTCCCTAAACTGACTTTCTTTATTTGACGGCAACGAATTTCTTAACTAAAATAATTTAGCAAGAGTTTGGGCCTTATTGGGCTTTTACTTATATATGTGCCGGCCCACTATTTTAACTTCGAACCAAGTCAGATTAATCAGTCGGAAACAGCCAATCAATCTTGTAAATTACAAGATTATAAAGACTTGGGGTTTATCTTCATGGTACGAGTAATTGTTAGAATACAAGACAAAGATTAATTGATCAGGCTGAAGGAAAGTCTGAACCAAAAGGCCAAGTGAGGCTTCATTTACATGGCACAGACGTGATAGTCGTCCTATTTCCGTATGGCATAAGCTGGCAATTTAGACAAGTCCGGAATAACAAACGCAAGTTCGGAAGAGCCTGTCACAAACATGGGACTTCCTGGAGCCCATTTAATGACTGGGGGCTCACTCCCTATACCCATCCAACTATGTACCTACACATACAAGAATCCAATCAACACTCAAAACCATACAAAAACACAGTTTCCAGGGTACAACAAACTATGGTTGTTTTGCTAGTCCAACCTGTTTTCCGCTCCTTACACCCCATGCATGGGTACTACCATCGCCTGAACCTACCAAACCATTACAAATACAGATAAGAGTTGTTCTACATGGGGAAGAGTGTATGTGTGTGTGTGCATATGTCATCCGAATCACCTGAAACAACAAACATCCCTTCAGGACTGAAGGTTGCATCCAATGTAGATTCTGCAGCTACTGGTTTCACACTAAATGTGGACAGCTGCAATGTACCACAAAAGAGTCACATAAACCAGTTTATGTATATTTATTGGTCATGTGTGTGCAAATGAAAAAAAAAACCATGGGTAGTGAAGAGCAAGGGATGCTGAAGGCATACAAGTGTTCCACGAAACGAGTCAAGCACATGAATAAAACCATCCATGGTTGTCAGCAGCATGAGCCTTCCATCATTACTAAATTTCACAACGTTAGCCTCAGAAAGATCACCACCAACGGAAAATATTTCAAAAGGACCCTATAAAAGCAACTTATCCAAATCAGGAAAAAAAAAAGAAGATAAATGTTGAATGTAAATAAGAAATTGTGGATACAGGTGGTCCATCAAGCTGCTAAAGACATAACAGGATCATCAGTAGCTTATGTCAATAACAAACCTTTTCATACATACGGGCATCAAACATTCTTATGTAGCCACCAAAGGCAATTGCAAAAACTAACCCTTGATCATCATATGCTGCAGCAGGCCTTCCTTGGACTCGTAAGAGACCCTGTGGTTAAAAACCAAATGATCAATTTTAAATGACTGAGGTAAGACCTCCATAAGCACCTAGGGTGGTCTACCTGGCATTTCTCGACCCTTTGATCCCAAAGCAAAACAGTTCGATCAAGGGAACCGGAGATGAAGCATTCTCCACCAGAACACAAGCTAAGCGAAACAACTCTGCATACAGCATAAATTGGTAAAGTCCATATGGTTATGAAGAGGGGAAAACATAAGCTGATCAAACAAGAATCAGAAAAGAAAGAAACCTGTCATGATGGCCTTTGAAGTAGCGCAAGTACTTATTATCGTGCAAAGAGAGAAGCCTCAGAGAGTCTAACCAACCAGATATGGAGGAAGTCAGTTAAAGTAATAAATGAGATAATGAGGAATGAAAGAAGCAATGTGCACATGAACATTGGGCTCACCGTCCCATCCGTTTCTGGAAGAGTAGATGACAGTAGTAGGATGGGAAGTGAAGCAAACAAGATCAACACCATACTTTTTGCTATTAATTGTCTTCAGACATCTGACACAAGAAAACAAAGTTGGAATGTCTTCTAGAGCAATGCGCAAGGCAGAGAGTTTTGGAGTTTGGAACTCACGTGGCGCTGGCAACATCATAGAGGCGAATTGAGTCATCGTCGCTAGCTGTCACCATACAAGTTGAAGTTTTGTGAAAGTCAATCGAGCTGATCCTGCAATTCTGAGGATAACAAAAGCTCTGTCCATTATTATTAAAGGAAAAAGAACCAAAGCTTCGACAAGGGAAGGAGATAGTATTACATAGTCTCTGAAAACGGCGCCAGGTTCCATGCTCTGTATAATTTCTTCGCTGAGTTCCAAAGAAACTCGGTCCTCTCTCTCTGTAAATTCCACCATTGCCAATCAATTATTATACTTCACGTTACACCAAGCCCAGAAACGAAATCTCGTCTCACCAATTACACTCACCAACCATTTCTCCGACACGTAGACGATATCGCCGGTGGGTGATCGGTAGAAGCCCTAACAACTTTAGGGATCGACGTCTTCCACGACCGCCTTAACTGATGATGCCATCGGTTTTCTATTTGGGCCAATATTTAGATTATGGGCCCTTACATATGATGCGCTCTCTATTCCAACATCCAGCATACCCGTGGATCGATCGTTGACTTTACTATCATCAAATTCAACCGGTTTAACCGGTTTGGTTTACATTATACTCCCTCCGTTTCATAATATAAGTCGTTTTGGAGAAAAATTTTTGTCTCATAATATAAGTCGTTTTCAAGTTTCTATGCACTTTATATATTACTTTAATATTTTATAATTATTTATATTATGCAGTCTCTTTTATGATTAGTTGAACTTTTTAAAAGTAGATCTTCTTAATCTGCGTGTTTAAAGCTAAAACGACTTATATTATGAAACGGAGGGAGTATGAATTATGAACATAATAACCAAAATTTACCAAATTTGAAGTTACACGATGTGTCGATGCATATTATATTGGTAACTTAGTCTTATACAATAACAAAACATCGATTTCTTCTTTTTCTAGTAATCGAAGGTACAACAATACTAAAAATATATTCTGAAGAGAGTGATTCGTACTAATATATAATCCCAAAAATATATATTAAGCAAGGCATATACACGGTAACATTTATTTCACCTATTTATAATTTCGCTAATAGAAGAAGTGAGGGCGTTAGCGGTCGTTTTCCTCGTTGATGATGGCCTTCTTGGTTCTGATAAACTCGATACAGTCAGCCACGGCTTCGCTGTGATAAGTATCAGTGGTCTTATAGTACTTTTGGGTTGGCGTCTGTTTGTTATTATGACGGCGAGATGTTGACTTGGAGACGGCAGATATCATGATGAGGTGGAGAACAGCTTCGCGAAAACGGTCTAGGAGAGTCAGAGACGTTACACTAATCTCCCGATCACCAGTGCTTCTGGCGTTGGTTTTTACTCGTGGGACACATCCGGCGCCGGAGCTCTTGGTCCTCATCTACAAGCTTTGATGATTTTTTTTTTTTGGTTGAACAAGCTTTGATGATTATGTGTGTTCCTCTTCGGCTATCGCATGTGGGGTTTTATTTATACACGAGAATCTAATGATCCAAGGGAGGCGCAGTTTTATTATCAAATTGGTTTCGTCTTTTGCTTATTTTATTAGTATCTCTTCTTAGTGATGAGACTTTCAAGTTCCAATATCAAAGATATAAAAATCCTTTAAGGCTGGTCAAGTTTAAGTTTTGGTGAATAGTACATTTAATGTGTGTGTTTATAACATGGTCGGGACATTTTAAGACCATATCTCATTCGCATGCAAATAGCCATTTAAAGCATTTTTATTTGTTAGGTGGCTCTTTTTTCAAAAACATATACACGTAGATATATGCAGGGCCGGCTCAATTATTGACGAGACCCGGTGCTAGATCTGTCCCAAAGAAATTAAGGGCCCTTAGACAATTATTTTTTTTTGTCTATTATTATAATTTAAAAAAAAATACCAAATTTGTATTCAACTAATTGTTGTTTTTAATTATAGAAATGTTATTTTCTTAAACTTGGATTTTTTTATATTGTTTTTAACAAAATTTGGGATTTTTAAAGTATAATTTTTTATTTAGTTGGTTATTTTATAAAAAGTTGGGATTTTTTTATTAAAAAAAATAAAATAAAAATAAATTGGACCCTAGGAAGCTAGGACCCTGTGCCCTAGCACTCCTAGCACATGTGCTAAGCAGGGCCTGGATATATGCATACTTGATAGTTGATACTTGTATAGAATGGGCAAGGGAAGAATTGTGTCCATGAATGGATTTACAAGATGGGGCAGAGTTAAAGAACTTGTCTTAAGGAATTGGTGCATACTTAATAAATAGAGAATGCGGGTCATTGTCTTAACTGACGTCGTCTGATGATTTTCACATGGTCACATGTGCAAGTTTTCACCAATATATAATCTCTCATAATTTACAGCATGAATTCTATATAGTACACAATCAAACTTATTTATACATTTCATTGCATTGTTAAAACATTTGAGCCGACTCACCGGCCAATGCAAAAATTGAAAGAGATAGTAATTGATATAATCATCCTAGATATAGACAAATTTAGGATGGTTTAATAAAGAGACATGAATTTGTTTAATTGTCTCAGGTCTACGTCGAAAAGTACAGCTCATCTCATGGATATCATATAGTACTTTATCAATAGATTAATTTTTTGTATGTATCTGTAGTTGACCAAGTACAGTGGTTTATAGATAACAGAGCTGTTCCACTTGCTATAGAATCGGATGAACCAATAGAACTATGTTTTTTTTGTTACTAATCTATAGATGTTAATGCAAATGTCTAATCTTGATATCGGTTAAGTCCGGTTAAGGTGTTTGATGGACTCCAATTGAAAGCCTTTTGCACAACAGGGCGAGAGAAGAAAGATAGAAAAAGAAACGTCAAATTCCGATTACACTTTAGTTATTGAAGAATAACAAGGTATAGGCCCAAGAATCAGGTTTGCGAATCGTAACATTAAAAGTGGTGACATTTGAGGCTTTTTGTCACAACTCGAAAAAAGAAAGAATAAAATTTAGGCTCATTCATCGCCAAGAAATCGGACATGTTTTCGAGTTGGTGTAGGAAAACCTTTCAAACGCAGCACTCCTGGAGATTGCTCTTTGGCCTCCACGATCTCTTCATCTTCACTGTCGTACTCAGATCGAGTGTGTTTCCCTGCAAATTCAGTCTCTACGCTCATCTTCCTCATTCCCTCACACAACACATCCACAATCCCTCCCTCTTCTTCCTCCTCTTCCTCGTCGTAAGAATAGGCTCCCTCATCCTCCTCGTCTTTGGCACTTGCATTGGCTGGGTTTTGAGTCACCCGTCACCCCAGAGGAGCAGCCTGAGCTCTCCCATAAATCTGATTTATCACTGAAGTCCAGCAGCAATGACCGAGTTATGCTCGGGCTCTTCAGGCTCTCTTCCTTGTCACCAAACGTGTTGCTTTCCACCACCTGCAAGAAGAAGGAAGAAACCAAGTTAACATCCCCCACGAGAATCTTCTTCCACCTATCAACAAAAACAGAGAACCCATATAAATCTTGTTTTACCTGAGATGTTGCTCTGAATTGTCCTGCAACAACCGGAGAAGTGATCACAGTCTGCATTTCGTCAGAGAAATCGAGAACTTGGGGGGTGTTGGCCGGAGTTGGGGCGAGAAGTCCCATGGGAGAAGTAACGAGATGGATGAAGGGACGAGATTGCATAGAAATCTTGGTGAGATCTGCTTCTTCTTCAACCTTCTGCAAGAGGGTCTTGACTTGGCCTCTCAAGAGAGCCTCACCAGATCCAGGATTGTTGTTGATTCTGCTCATATTCCTCCTCTTCCCAACCACTCCTGAGGATGGTGTCTGCATCGCCAGACCTACGATCGGCGAGTCGTTCGTTATGTCAAATAACGCTGACCTGTCTTTTGCACCGTTTCTTTGTACCGACTTCGACTGACATTTATCGGAATCATCCGCTTTCTCTGTAGGACAGAATTAGAAACAAGGAAAATCAGAAACCCAAATAATGTAGTCTGACAAAATTCAGGGAATCATCAAGATTCTCTCAGCAAAGAAATCTTTAAATTAATCACACAATTCAAAATGAGTCGGGAAACCAAGAGAAGAATATGGAGACTCACTTGAGGATAAGAGATTAGTGATGGCATTGCGGGTCTGGGACCTCGTGACTCTTCTTGTCGATGAGGGTGTCTCCATTATGATTTACGAATCTATTGAATCCGATAAGCAATGAAAGGGTAATTTCTGGGAAACTAAACAGAGAAGAAGAGAGAGACAAGTGATTGAGGCGTTGGCAATTAGGTCAAGTATAAATAAATAGGTAGGGTTTTTTGAGAGAAAGTAGCCGTTGGGTACAAAAATGGAAGGAGCCGTTTATGAAAAACTAGCCGTTGTGTTCTTTCCTTCCTTGAATATTGCCGTCGGATCATGGGCCTTTTCGCCCTAAACAAGCCCATAATTAAAGGCTCACCTCGTTTATTTGATAAAACTGATTTATATATTAACACAAAATCATATACTTCACAACAATCTTTATTTTAGCTGTCATTACAAGACACATAAACATCCTCGGTGTCTTTATTTTCTAAACTTTATAAATACAAGATTGGGCTAGTTGGAATAGTTTTAATTCTTTGTAGCAACTGTGTCGCTAGCTCCATTGTGCGGGTCTTTGTTGTTCATCAGCTTAGATAATCTCTCAGCGAGGCTCTTCCTGGTTGCAGGGGATACACCATTCTTCCCAATCATCGACTCAAGAACTGCCTCACCCAACAACTTGTTCTTGATTACCGATTTTCCAGTTTTCGGGACTCTCTGCCCTTTCGAAAATGCAATCTGCATCACAAGTTGTGAAAAGACCATTCATTCCATCGATATTATTCCAAGTCAAAACCGAAATAGGCTTACTCACTGTGAGAGAGCCTTTAGGACAGATAGCGAAGAGGACTGAAGAGCCGGGAGGGAAATCTTGGTCTTTGAAGACCATCAAGAATTGGTCGATGGCTTTGGCTTCAGATCTTGTGTATTTCCCTGACGCTTTCATGATCTCCTCACAGTATTCTACTACTTTATCCGAGTACTGTATTCCCGTTAACCTCACTTACATCGTCACCCTTGCGAATTTCTCAAACTCACCTTTTCCCACAACAAAAGAACAAGTAATATATGACGTGTTTAACTTGAACATATACACAAATCGTGTGAACGAGAGACAAAAGTGTTTTAAACTTTTAATTAGCACGTAATAAAGTGTACACCTGTGACGCACGAGTTGACGGAAGAAAGGGACGGATTCCGTCAACTCCTTTGCATTCTTGCCTTTCCACTTAACGGAGAGTGATGGTAGTGCCATAGCTTCAAGGTAGACTCCGATGACCGTCACAATCACGAACTTGCCTTCAATGTCAAACCATCGTATCCCTGCGTGCATATATATAAGGTAATTAGCCACATGTATGTGTGCATTATTGATTGTAGACACATATATAGACATAGGCCCACGTTTTGATGCTAACCTGCACCACCGAGGAAAAGCTTTTTGTGGGAAGCGGGCGACTCAACAGCCAGAGGAAAAGTAAATGCGTCGACGTGGAGTGGAGTCACCGAAGGCAACGGCATGGGCGACGAGGAAGACCAACTCATCAAGTCTAGTTTGATTTTTGACATTTATTTATAAGGTCCATGAAGATTGAAGAGTACTATACTAATTAATTACTAATTTTCAAGTTTTTCATTTTTAATGAGAGAGAGGGGGAGAAAATAATGCGACTTACTTGATGATAAGAGATTGTTGGCGAGAGACATGGTGACTTTTCTGAGTTGAGGACGGTGCCTGTGAGTTCGTTCTGAGAAAGAATAAATGGACAAGTATGAGTAAGTAGGTTAGGTATGCGTAGGCCACAAAAGAGAGGTTACCAACCCTGCAAATGACAAAATTCTAAATATTTACATCATTTTTGTTTGTATAGTATAATTTGTATATGTTAGTTATATCCACCGTTCGTTTTAGCTTGTCATGCATCACAACTCGCAAGCCATATGATGATATCATCACCTTTTTTCATCGAAATTTTTAAATTTGAGGAAACAAATTGAATGGCCCAAAACATAAAAGCGTATTGGAAGCCCGCTTGGTTGGGCTCACTACTAGTGATCAGAATTGGTGCGAGGGGCCCACGTTCTATAACAAAACATAAAAATACGTTAGACCATCTCCAATCGTGAGCTCTCACCAATTTTTTAATATAAGTTTTGTCAAATTTTTAAATGAGAGTTTGTGTTTTCTTTTAAAAAAATTTCGTACTCCAATAGTGATCTCTCTCAAGTAGGTTCTTAAAAAAAAAAATTCAAACATGTAAAAATATATATGGTTCTTGCAAAAAAATGATTTTCTGACCAAACTGCAATGCAAACTGATCAACTGCAGCCATAGCTTGACAAGCTGAACCAATTGATCCATCATATCTGCAGGAAGAAATCATAACCATCTGCAGATTCCAAGAACAAAGGTCTCCAAGTAAAAACAGAAAAAAGCAAACAAAGTCTTACATTGATTGGATCCAAGAACAAAGGTCTCAGTAGGAAGATTGCCACGTCTCATGAAATCGATAATTGCTTTAGATCAAGCTGATCATATCAGATAAAATGTTGGTTCTTGATTTCTCAAAGACATGGTTTTGATGCAATCTTTAAAAGGGATTTCAAAGGAGATCTGTTTTTGTTTCTACCTTGGGATGAAGTTATCTTGAAGAAGAACTAATGACTTCAACGTGAAGCTTATCGTTTATGGGAGGCTCATCTACTGGGAACTGAAAATCTTCATCCCATCTCGGTTCTGTTTTTCTTCACACGTTACAAAATCAAACCAAAATTTGTAAATTTGATGTTTTGATTTTAAATTTAAGAGAATGTCAATCCCTTCTTGTTCAGCTCTGCAAATAACTCAAAATTAAGTAAGCCTCAGGACCTATATCTAAATCATATATAGAAGCATACATCAATGTCTCGAGATATTACCACAAGCCTTAAAGAGAGATATTAATCAAAGATGGGAAAAACAAAAAGCAACGAGCCTCAGACTAATTAAAGAATTCATATGAGTGGTGAATCAAACAATGTGGACAGTCTTTTTCAATCATCAATGGCTCTTTATCTAAACCAAGTTCACAAAAATTAATAGTGATATATATAAAGCACACACCTTCACTTTGGTAGCATATATATAAGACTCATGGTTATTTCTTAACTCAGCCGTTCTTCTTCTTTACCTTATTTTGTTCATGAAACAATAACAAGTCTTAAGATTCAGAGAAGCAGCAATCCATTACCTTAACGGATGAAATGAATGTCATCCATTTAGGAATTGATTCTCGTTCCGAGTAGAGTCCATAAGCTACTGATACATGCACTTCTACCTTCATCTTTACTCTAAAATATAAAATTCAAAATCCCTAATCGACCAACAACAAATTCCCAAAATTAAATCATGATAATCTGCAGAAAAGTAGTAGATTCTTACCAATTACAAGATTTCTTGATCGAAGACTCTCATTCGATCCTCAATCGATCTCCAAATTGATTTCTCTCCACAGCCATCTGTTTTGTCTTAAGAGAGAGATGGTAAAAGAAAAGAAACGCTGGAGATTTTTTTTTTTTTGTGGCCAAAAATACAAACCAATTACAGAGTGACACGTCATCGTCTCTCTTGCCATCAAAACCTCTCTCAAGAGAGACAGCTCTCTCGGAAATAAATCATTCTGATTTATTTTTTTCTACTTTTAATCAGAGAAACGATCAAGAGACCCCAATTTGCACACCGTTGGAGATGCCCTTAGGTGGAGAGTAGTAGTATACTAGTATTTGTTTAGGCTAGTAAAGTACCATGTCATGCAAACGTTTTTCAATCTGGACAAGTAAATAAAAATAATGAAAAAGCAGTTTCAGATTCATACTGCCAAGTAAGTGCCTCCCGTCACCATTAACACACTTTTGGTGTTCCCATTAAAAGAATATAATTTGATCCCTTTTTTTTTTTTTTTTTTTTTGATAACCCAGTATCCAGACCACACAGTGATCTGACTAGCCCATTAGGCCTAAGCCCGCGTCACAGGAATTTTTAAGCCTCCACTTAAGGGCCCCCTGATAAACTGGTGGTCTGGGGCGCCTGAGCAAGTCCGCAGGTAAATTCCCAGGTGGCCACAGGAATATATAAAGGGTTAGGGCCAATCCACTAATTGCCAATTGGTTTTTAGTTGGAAGCCCAGAATTAGCCCAAATTTAAACATCGCCTACCACCATGTGATTTATTTGATCCCTTTCGGAGTACGGGTAGAGGAAAAACACAAAAAAGCATCGGAATACGGGTGTGCGTTGGAATGGCACGTGAAAGTGATGCACCGTCAGTCACCGGAATTGCAAAATAGATTATTTCATTTGTTGTTACTTTCATCCTAATTCCTAACTGGGACAAATTCAATGCAAAGAAGTCGAATACTAAGTACAAAATGCAGAAAAGATCCAGGCTAGGAGAGGCTCTACTCTAATAGTATGGAGTTAGTTAGAAAGTAAAATAAATGAGAATTTTGGAGGCAATAATGCAAAACTGAAGGTGAGTCGAAGGAATACGGGTGTGCGTTGGAATGGCACGTGAAAGTGATGCACCGTCAGTCACCGGAATTGCAAAATAGATTATTTCATTTAGTACTGTTTAGGGAGAAACGCGAGTAGAATTAGAGAGAGAGACTTGAGAATACTAAGTACAAAATGCAGAAAAGATCCAGGCTAGGAGAGGCTCTACTCTAATAGTATGGAGTTAGTTAGAAAGTAAAATAAATGAGAATTTTGGAGGCAATAATGCAAAACTGAAGGTGAGTCGAAGAGTCTTTCCGGGGGATGGTGTCGGGCCCAAACACAGGACAGGATGGTCTTCTTCGCTTTCACACCAAAATACGATTTAATTATTTCGGTCTTCGTGAAACGAAATGAAATGACAGTTAAAAAAATCTCTGAAATTGTAACAAACCCTTTTTGTGTTTTCCACTGCTGTTCGGTTTGTTTGTGTAAGAAAACAGATATAGTAATAAAAAAAGAAGAAGAAAAAAAAAAGAAAAGGGGGAAAGTGAGAAGGATCTTTCCTTGGGGCTCCTCCAAGTCCAGGAGGAGGGGTTCACTCGGCTCTTTGGGTTTGACCAACTCAACTCTCTTCTAATCTTCTCCTTCCTCTCATCTTCTTCTTCTCTTCTCTCTGCTTTTATTAATAATCCCTTTTCTTCTTTCCATATCTAAAGTTCTCATCTCCATTCAGAGCCATGGGTGTCTGTTTCTCCGCCATCAGAGTCACTGGTGCTAGCAGCAGTAGACCAAGCAGTCAGACCAACAACCCCAAATCCAAGGCTGCTCCTTCTCCCATCGATACCAAGCGCCGAACCGGCTCCATCCCCTGCGGCAAGCGTACTGATTTTGGTTACGCCAAAGACTTCCACGACCACTACACCATCGGCAAGTTGCTGGGCCATGGTCAATTCGGCTACACCTACGTCGCCATCCACAAACCCAACGGAGATCGCGTCGCCGTTAAGAGACTCGATAAGACTAAGGTACTTTTTTTCAGCCCTTTTACTAGTTCTTGGTATCTATCTCCCTCTGTTTATATCCTCCTCCAATACCCTAGTAGATTCACAGATAAACAAATTGGCATCTTTTTAATTCACTTTAACACTAGTTGTAGATTCTTTTTTTCTTTCTAGAACAAGATTGTTTTACTTTTGGGAATGTATCAACTGCTTTGATTCGTTTTTTTACTTGTTAGTTAGTTAGTTACTGCTCTTTCTCTGTTTCATCGCATCTTCATTGCAACATTATTCTGTGGTTTTACTGCATCCTCTGCTCTGCTTTGAGTTTCACTTCACGCTCACAGATGGTTCTTCCTATTGCGGTTGAGGATGTCAAGCGAGAGGTTCAGATTCTTATAGCTCTTTCTGGCCACGAGAATGTTGTTCAGTTTTACAATGCCTTTGAGGATGACGATTACGTCTATATTGTTATGGAGTGAGTCTCCTCCTTTCCTCATTTCTTATCTTCTTCTTTTATGCAAACAACCGTCTCATTCTATCGGCGGCATTCACATCATTTTACTCTTGCTTTTCTTCTAGGTTGTGCGAAGGAGGCGAATTGCTGGATAGGATTTTATCCAAGTTAGTTTGCATCTCTCAATACTCTGTTACCGGTATTGTAAGAAAGAACTTACCTTCTCATTATTGACGCTTTCCCTCTTCTTTTGTCAGGAAAGGTAATCGATACTCCGAGAAAGATGCTGCCGTTGTCGTTAGGCAGATGCTCAAAGTCGCAGGAGAATGCCATCTACATGGTCTTGTACATAGAGATATGAAACCGGAGGTACTTTCACTTGCATATACCTCTTAGCAAGTCCTCATGTGCTTTTTGTTTTTAATAATAATCTTCTGCTTTTGCTCCTCTTCCAATTTCTTGCAGAACTTTTTGTTCAAATCAGCTCAACTAGATTCGCCTCTAAAGGCTACAGATTTTGGTTTATCGGATTTTATCAAACCAGGTAAGTAGAAGCTATCAAAATCCACACTAGCAAAGTGGTAGAGCCTATTCTGTTGATTTCTTCTTATAAACAACTCGATCCTTCTCAGGGAAAAGGTTCCATGACATTGTTGGTAGCGCCTATTATGTTGCTCCCGAAGTACTAAAGCGCAGATCAGGGCCTGAATCAGATGTGTGGAGCATTGGTGTGATTACGTATATATTACTTTGTGGGAGGCGGCCTTTTTGGGATAGGACAGAAGATGGTATATTTAAGGAGGTGCAGCTGAAAACTTAATTCACTGGATTTCTATCTCTATAGCTTTTCTTATTTCTTTCTGCCTTCCTTATTAATATGTACTATATGAATATAGGTTTTAAGAAAGAAACCTGACTTCAGCCGTAAACCATGGTTAACTATAAGCGACAGCGCCAAAGATTTTGTGAAAAAGTTACTTGTAAAAGACCCACGAGCACGGCTAACTGCTGCACAAGCCCTATGTATGCTTTCGACTTTTGAGTACTAGTTAGTGATTTTTTCATGTACGGCGGATTCTTTGACTAATGCTGTATTGTCTCTTGCCTTTGCAGCACATGCGTGGGTTAGAGAAGGCGGGAATGCTACTGATATCCCTGTCGATATTTCAGTTCTTAACAACTTACGTCAATTTGTGAGATACAGCCGTCTAAAGCAATTTGCTTTAAGGGTAAGTTGAATGAGGAAGTTGTTCGATGGATAAAAACAAAGTGATCCGAACATGTCTCACATGCTTTGTGTTTCTCCTTCTGACAGGCGCTTGCTAGCACACTTGACGAGGCAGAGATCTCTGACCTCAGAGATCAATTTGATGCGATTGATGTGGATAAAAATGGTGTCATTAGTCTTGAAGAGATGAGACAGGTAAAAAAGCTCATGTTATTTTGCTTTAAGAACATTACTAATTAAATCTAGGCATGATCAGTTAATCTTTATGTATCCATTTGGCCTATTTTCTACAGGCACTTGCCAAAGATCTTCCTTGGAAACTGAAGGATTCACGAGTTGCTGAGATCCTTGAAGCGGTAGTTACATTCTTCTTTTCCATTGAAATTGCATCTCTGGGGGTATCAGAGGAAGACGTAATTTCATAATGAGCCGTTGTATACTTGTATCTTTGCTGGTCACAGATTGATAGCAACACTGATGGGTTAGTGGACTTCACAGAGTTTGTAGCAGCAGCTCTACATGTTCATCAACTGGAAGAACATGATTCAGAGAAATGGCAGCTAAGGTCAAGAGCAGCGTTTGAAAAATTTGACATTGA